CGGAGTGGCGGCCAGAGTGCCGGGGGGAGGCCGGAGAGCCCAGCCGCGGCTCCGCTCTCCCCGGCGGCCAGAGCACCGCGCCGCCCTCCTCCAAGTGCCGCCCCAAGCACAAGCTTGGTGGGCTGGTGCCTGGAGCCGGCCCTGCCTGGGGACTCCAAACCTTTTAGGGGAGTGACCAACTCCACCATTCATTACCTGATCCAGCAGTTCTGGTGGGATGCTTTGCTTATTTACAGACGCTGCCTTTTGAAGCAGTTTTTTGGCTTCCTCTATCTTCCCTTTCATCACAAGCCAGCGAGCAGATTCTGGAAGGACCCTACAAAGTGGTTGAAAAAACGCAGTTACCCACTTAACTGTATCCCTAACTTCATCTACCTGATGTGTCTTCAGTGCTAATACCATCGATCTGATTGTGCCTGTTTACAACAGGAGACATGCAGATCTTCTGAGGCACTAAGGCTCAGGTTTGTATTTGGGGGTTGCTTTGTTTCAATAGAAATAATTTTATTGTGCTGCCTAGAGTTAGGCTCTTAAATCCATATTTAGGCACCTCAATAAAAGTGGCCTGATAGTCCAATACACTGAGCTCCCAGCTGCTCCCATTAACTTTGTATATGACTTTACAAGATCAGGGTATAATGGGAAATAACCTCCCCTTCAATGTGTAGATGAATCCACTCTGTAAAGCCCGTGTGTAACCTGGATCACAAACAACACTGCAATGTGTGAGAAGAGCTCTCTGGCAAAAGCACATTTACCATATGTAAAAGAAAAGACCAAATATTGGGGCAGATCCAGCAATCTGCAACAGCTTCCAGTTGCGAACCCCATAAGCTAAGCCAGCCAAAGCCATCTGTCCAATGGAAAAGCAGCAATGAGAGATAGCTACTGTATGTGTCCGGTAGGAGACTCCAACCCATTCCGTGCCTAGAAACATTAACACAGATTGAACTCCTAAGAATCCTAATAGTTCAGCACCATTTAAAGGACTTTTTTCTATTCCAGATAAGGATACATAATAATTCCCTACCTCTCAGTACTGCTGAGAGTCTTGCTTAACTAACCTTTGTGAATCTCCAGGGGAAAAGGCTGCATACATGTAAAGTATGTTATTAAGAGGGGCTTTCGTGACTGTGAGTAGACAGTGATCTCAGAGATACAATAGTTAATAACCACTCATGGGAGATACTAATGACAACCCGAGCACAAATAAACCAACATTTCACATTCTCCAACTATGCTCTGGGCCGATGAGAGGTGGGGGAAGCCGGTACAAATTACCGGGGCCCGGCGGTCTTAAAGGGGGCCCGGCTTCCCCCCCACTCTCGTCGGCCCAGTTTAGCCGGTGCGCCCTTGCTGGGGGGCCCGAAAATTTTTTCACACCGGGGCCCGAACCCGCTCTCGGCAGCCCTGATTATGCTTTCTGCCTGCCTCCCACCAAATATGTAAATAGTGGGCCAGATTCTCCTCTTCCCTTCACTGGTGCCACTCCCCTGACTTTAATGTGATTACTCCTGATTTACACCAGTGTGAGAGAAAGATCGGTCCCACTGTATTTAAAAGACATTAAGTTGGAAGCACATTTTTAAAAACAGGTCGTACGTAACTCCACAGCACTTTTGTCCAGCAGACTTTTTCATGGCCTTTTGTAAGACCACAGATATTGTGAAGCTAAAACAACTCTAGTAGTGAGGCAATCTTACCTAAGGTCACTGTGCTTATAGTGCAACCAGACACAGCAAAACCCACAAGACATCTCAAAGCCATGTAGACATAGAAATTCGGTGCAAAGGCTGCTCCAACACCAAATGCCCCCATCATAAGCATGGAAAGCAATGTAACCGGACGCCGACCTATCCTGGGGGAGGAAACATATTTGTAAATCTCTGAGGCTACTGTCAGCATTCTCTCCTAAAGCCAGAGAGGCACCCAAGTACTATTGTGATGGGCATCAATGTAAGAGCCTGGATGGATATACTGGTGGTTGATACAATGCAGAAAAGAAGTGTTTAAATGGTATTGCTGTAGAATCAGAGTTCTGGTTTAGATTATTGGAAGTGACTGCTGATTTTGGATCCACAACTTGACATACCTTAAAGAGGCCTGGTTTTCACAGGGTGGGTGGCTCAGCACTTTCTGAAAAAACAGACCCCTTTAAAGTGGTGTGAGCTGGGCATAGGGTGTCAAGATGTCCCGATTTTATAGGGACAGTCCTGGTATTTGAGGCTTTGGCTTATATAGGTGCCTATTACCCCCTCACCCCCTGTCCTGATTTTTCACACTTGCTGTCTGGTCACCCTAGCTGGGTACCCAAAAGGACTTCTTCTAACAGCAGACAATCTCCCTGCGAGGGACTGTGAATGGGAGCTAGAAGACAATCAGTGTGTGGACACACCTTCTGAAAGACTCCACAGGACAGAGCAGAAGGCAAAGCAATGGACACATTTGAATGGATTTGAGAAACATCCAAGGGACATTTAATTAGCAACCATCATAGTGGGACACTTCCTGAGGGACTCTCGCATCTCCTCTTTTGAGGTAACTGGGGTCACATCAGAAAGATTTATTTCTTAGTTTATACTTAAAACACCACCATAGCCACCAAATCCACTTCAGTTCTCCCCATGTTTGAATTGCCCTGTACATTCTGTCCTCTGTCTCTCTTAGGGTACGTCTATACTTACCTCCAGGTTCAGCGGTAAGCAGTCGATCTTCTGGGATCGATTTATCACCTCTTGTCTAGACACAATAAATCGATCCTGGAAGTGCTCGCCGTCGACGCCGGTACTCCTGCTCCGCGAGAGGAGTACGCGGAGTCGATGGGGGAGCCTGCCTGCCGCGTGTGGACCCGCGGTAAGTACCTTGTAGTTCGAACTAAGGTGCTTCAACTTCAGCTACGTTATTCACGTAGCTGAAGTTGCGTATCTTAGTTCGAACTGGGGGGTGAGTGTGGACCAGCCCTTAGAGAAGCTTAGCTACCTGGGGCAGGAGTGACCTTAGTGCATTGTTAGCAGTAAATACAAGCTTGCAGAGCTCCATATACCCCTTCTTAACATAAGAAAGGGACAGAGGGTACCTGTCACTGCCCAGCACTTGCCTGCTTCGTGTAGGAAAAGAACACAAGTAGAAGGGGATGAGGAAAAATGGGAGCAGGGAATTGTGAAGAGAATAGTGAGACTGAGATGGTTGGGGGAGGGAGGAAGGAAGAAGTTCAGAAAATGCCCCATCACCACCAATAACTTTTTAATCTCTCTGTCTTTCTGGTCTATTTACATTGCAATCTCTTTGGGGGAGCGACTGTTACTATCTGCTTCTTGTATAGCATATGGCACAATGGGCCGTTGATCTCAGCTGGAGCCTCTAATAAGGTGGGCAGGTTGAAAAATTTCTGTCAAAACATTTGACAGAAAATTGGGTGTTTTACAATTCGAAATTTTTCACAAAGAATGGCTGCTTTCTGTGGGGAAAGTTCATTTTTCGTTTGAAATCAAATGCCTGAAAAAAGCCAAAATATTTCAATTTGGATATACTCCTGCAGCGACTCATGGCAGTTATAGTCCACTGCCTCCTCTTGTAGCGTTGGTAGGAATGTTTCTGTGGGTTAGTGTGCTGTTCAGTGGTATGGTGGAAATATTCCTGGAGTCGGAGACGGCGAAAAGAGGATTCCAGGTCACTGCAGAACTGTATCATGTTCCTGGGGGTGGTGGCAGAAAGAGAGGCCCCAAGATAGGACAGAATCCCCCAACCTGAAGCAAATACTCACCAGCAACTACACACCACACAACAGAAACACTAACCCAGGAACCAACCCCTGCAACAAAGCCCGTTGCCAACTCTGTCCACATATCTATTCAAGGGACACCATCATAGGACCTAACCACATCAGCCACACCATCAAGGGCTCGTTGACCTGCATATCTACCAATGTGATATATGCCATCATGTGCCAGCAATGCCCCTCTGCCATGTACATTGGACAAACCGGACAGTCTCTACGCAAAAGAATAAATGGACACAAATCAGACATTAAGAATTGTAACATTCAAAAACCAGTAGGAGAGCACTTCAATCTCCCTGGACACTCAATAACAGACTTAAAAGTGGCCAGTCTTCAACAAAAAAACTTCAAAAACAGACTTCAATGAGAAACTGCAGAACTGGAATTAATTTGCAAACTTGACACCATCAAATTAGGCCTGAATAAAGACTGGGAGTGGCTGGGTCACTACAAAAAATAATTTTCCCTCAGTTAAAAGCAACAGAGAGTCCTGTGGCACCTTTAAGACTAACAGATGTATTGGAGCATAAGCTCTCGTGGGTGAATACCCACTTTGTCGGATGCAACGTCCATCTGTTAGTCTTAAAGGTGCCACAGGACTCTCTGTTGCTTTTTACAGATCCAGTCTAACACGGCTACCCCTCTGATACTTTCCCTCAGTTGATACTCACACCTTCTTGACAACTGTTGGAAATGGGCCACATCCACCCTAATTGAATTAGCTTCGTTAGCACTGACCCCCCACTCAGTAAGGCAACTCCCATCTTTTCATGTGCTGTGTATTTATACCTGCTATTGTATTCTCAACTCCATGCATCTGATGAAATGGGTTATAGCCCACGAAAGCTTGTTATTTTTGCTGATACAGACTAACACGGCTACCCTTCTGAAACCTGTCAAAATACACTTCCCATGATGCACTCGATCCCCTCTCCAAGAGGGGTAACAGCAGTGATTCATGGGAGATGTAGTCCAACTTGGGAGCTTGGCTGTGGCGGGGTGTACAAGCTCCGCACCAGCCAGGTGAGGGTTAATGAACTGCTATGGGGTTAAGCAGCCCTGCCCCACCATACCTACAAGGCATATCAGGCTTGGAGGTAAGGCATAAAAAGGCAAAGTCTAGCTCTGTCAGCAACAGCAGCCCTGGAAGGGGAATAGACCTTCATAGATTCCAAGGCCAGAAAAACCATTGTGATTGTCTAAGTCTGACCTCCTGTGTAACACACACCATAGAACTTCCCCAAAGTAATTCCCAGCAAAGATCTTTTAGAAAAACATCCAATCTTGATTTAAAATTTGTCAGTGATGGAGAATCCACCACAACCCTTGGTAAATTGTTCCAATGGTTAATTACTCTGACTTAAAAATTAACATATATTTCCAGTTTATCTTGTTATACTTTCCTCAGCTAGACTGAACAGCCCATTATTAAATATTTGTTCCCCACGTAGGTACTAATAGACCGTAATCAATACACCCTCTCTCTGTTAAACTACACAGGTTGAGCTCCTTGAGTCTATCACTATAAGGCAGGTTTTATAATCCCTTAATTATTCTCATGGCTCTTCTCTGAACCTTCTCCAAGGTATCAACATTCTTCTTGAACTCTGGGTACCAGAACTGTTCACAGTATTCCAGCAGCAGTCACATCAGTGCCAAATACAAATGTAAAATAAATAACCTCTCTACTCCTACTCAAGAGTGCCCTGTTTATTCATCCAAGGATTTGGTCACAGTGTCCAACTGGAAGCTCATGTTCAGTTGATTATCCACCATGACCCCCAAATCTTTTTCAGAGTCACTGCTTCCCAGGATAGAGTCCTGTAAGTATGGCCTGCATTTTTCATTCTTAGATGTATACATTTAGCCACATTTAAAATGCCTATTTTTGGCTTGCACCCAGCTTACCAAGTGATCCAGATCACTCTGTATCAGTGTCCTGTCATCTTCATTATTTACCACTCCTCCAATTGTGTGTCACCGGAAAACGATGTTTCTTCCAGGTCATTAATAAAAATGTTAAATAGCACAGGGCTAAGAACCAATCGCTGCAGGCCCCCTCCAGAAACACGCCTTGTTTGATGATGAGTCCCCATTTACTATTACAGTTTGAGACCTATCAGTTAGCCACATTTTTAATATAAAATATAAGCATAGAACAAAACAAAACATATAAATATGTACACAAAGTGGCAATAGCATATAAATAATAAAGTTCAATGTTCATTGAAAAACAAATAAAAGCAGAAAAACCTGAACCCATAAAGGTCATGCAGGCTATTAATTATTGAAGTGATTTAATAGATAAATAAGTCAGAACATAGTCTATGAGTATCGGGGATTAATGTATGCTAAGCTGCAAAGGTATGCAATAGTTTCACGTGTGACCAGACATCTTTGTATTTTTTTCACATTTCTCTTAGAGTCATTTTTTCTATTCGTGAAGTAGTAGAGATCTCACTCAGCAAGTCTGTATGTATGTGGAAGGCATTGCAGATTTCCATGGTCTCAAAATAACCCTTTTGGTCACTAAAATAATTGCTGCACCCCTAATATACATGTAAGCAGAGTCAGGATGAGCTCTACCCTGACATCTGGTGGTGAATTAAGGCGAGTGTGGAAAACAACTCCAGGGGCTGATCTTGTTTGCATAGGCACACCCACCCACCTGGCATGAGACAACAGCAACTGATAGTGATTACTTTGGATGGGGTGGGATCCCCAGTTTCTCTGTTATTGGGGCAGGAGGAATAAAGTGTTGTTACCCTGATTATGTGAATCAAGGACAATGAAACAGTTTTATGACAGAGGGTCTCACCATCACCTAAGTAGCAATCGCTAGACAAGGGACATGGGTTCCACAACCCAGTGAATTGAGAGGGGAGGGGGATAGGTATTTATACCTGATGGTATGGGCCCCCTTTGAGGGCCTGAAACACCAATTGTACCACCTCCTCTCTCCACTGTTGAATGTCAGAGCTAACTTTGATTCTATTAGGAGTCTAGTTGAGCTGCTGCTGAGCTGAATTCACTTTGGGCCAATGGTGCACCAGCACTGGGGCTCCCCTACTACGAGATGAAATCACAAAAGAGCTAAAGTTACTAAGAGCTGAGGTCACTGAGTGCTGTGTTAACTAGTGGGGGAAACTGAAGCTATATTGCTAAGCGGCTGGTGGAGGAGCGGCGCAGAGCCTTGTGGGGACGGTTGGAGAGGCTCAAAGGTCGGTGAGCAGAGCGGAGCAGCTCATAGAGCAGAGCAGTTTGTGGGACGGCAGGAAGTGGACTGGCTCGTGGTGAAGGCTGTGGCGGAACCCCACGGAGAGACGGCCGGTTGGCCTCGGATCACATAAGGTGACCCTTAACACTCTGCGTGACCCCCTTTCACTCTGGGGCTGCACTGACCAGGGACAGAGACTTTGGGGGTTGTTGGACTTTTGGTGGTTGCTGGACCCAAGAGACTTTGGGGGTGTTGGACTTTGGGTGATTTTTGGGTTGCTGGACTCAAGAACCAAAGGGAAAGGACATGGCCCAATTTGCTGGGGTGGGTCTTCTGCTCATGGTTTGTGTTATGAATCCTGTTTGTGGTGTTTTTTCCAATTTAATGCTGATGTCGTTTACCTCAATTATTAAACATTTTCTGCTACACTCAGACTCCGTGCTTGCGAGAGGGGAAGTATTGCCTCTTAGAGGCGCCCAGGGGGTGGTATGTAATTGTCCCAGGTCACTGGGTGGGGGCTCGAGCCAGTTTTGCATTGCGTTATTGAAACGGAACCCCTAGATACAGAACCCGGCCCTTGTTGCTGCCAACTTAGATGGGCAGAAGGGTTACATACACAAGCTTGGAGAAGGGGAAATAGTGATACTTCGAGTTTTTATGAGAGCACTAAATATAGTATTCCAGTGCACATGCCTTTTTTGACAGGTATAGAGGATGTGTGAAAGGTTGGCATGCAGCTGTTTGCATCTGCAGTACTCACTGTGTGTTGCCTGTCTAGCCTTAAACACACACTCTGGAATCCCGTAGTGCCTGTTTACTATCTTGTTCTGGAAGAATTGCAGGATAAAGAACTTGAAGTATCTTTTACATTAGGTCAGATGTCCTCCCTCTCCCAGGTGTCTGCTGAGAAAGTAAGACTAAGTTTCAGAGTAGCAGCCGTGTTAGTCTGTATCCGTATTCTTTTTAAGACTAAGTTCTTTTCCCCAGTTTGCTTTGAGACTGAGATTAAGAGGGTGCTGTGAAGCACGAAGCCATGTATAAATAATTCCTACAAAGTACTTTCTGTTTCTATATTTCTTAACACATTCTTCTGAGGAGAGAGAGAGTTAAAAACGGTCCAGTTATCCCCTATCTATGCATAAATCTGTGAGCATAGTCACTGAAAGAAGGAACTGTGAGTCAGCAGTAGCTGATATTTGTTGGATACGTACTCGAAGGAGGCCAGTCTATCATCTTGTATTCTATCTTTAATTTTTGTTAATCTTTTTCTATCCAGATTGTCTTAAGTTTGGAGTTGGCCTTGATCTTGAGGTGCGGGTTATCCCCCAGTGGTACAAGAGAAGAATTAGTCAGATTGGATGCTGTAATCATTTTAACATATTGCATCTACATGAGGCATACTGCAAAGACTGGATTTTTCCTTAAGGGTGTCGGTAGCTTCTTGGGGTATAGAAAAGAAGAGAGGGAACCAAATGACATAGAATCCCCCCCTTTTCAACCAGCTTTAATAATCAACAGCCACAGAAATGACTGAGTAACTTGCCCTAGTCTACAGGGCACATGAGTGTCAGGGCCTAGGCTCCAATGCTCTAGCCACACCAGCCTGTACACCAGCCCTGCGGCTGCGAGGCCCTATACTATACACCCCCAAGTGAGGTTATGCTGCTGACTTTGTGCAGGTTGATCATTCTTTCTCCTTACCTGTCACTTAACGAACCGGAGATCACAGCTCCAAGGAGAAGTCCCAGCATGTAAATGGATTGGGAGATGTCATTTAGCTTTTTTCGGTCACATACCAGGTCAAACTGAAAGAAGGGAACAAAGTAGGTTTAATTTTAAAGTGGCTTGATTTGGTGGCTGGATTCAAGACCTGCTAGCAGCACAAACATTCCCAGAGAGAACCGGAGATTAAGGTACATGGCCTATAATGCCAAACCACCATTCACCTACCAAAGCACCACCCCAGTCAGCATCTAGTGTCACTTGAGTCTTTGATGTGTTCATAGGTAATACTAACCAGAAAGATCAGACCTACAGGGTCATTCAGTCCCTCCCCCTGGCGGGGCAGGATTGTCCACAAGCAATGGAGATCTCAGTACTTCCCTTGAGAGACTATTCCATCATCTAAGGGATCTCACTGTAAGGACACTTTTCTCAATATTCAGCCTTTCATAAATCGATCCCACTACCCTTCATTTCACTGCTACAATAAGTACCACAGTAAACTGCTCCTCTTCCTTTTTGGGGTTAGACCCCTTCAGGGAGATGTAAAACATGTCCTCCTTTGCATGTGTCGACCAACCAATTCACATTCCACCTTTTTTACTCTTTCGTCAATAAGTCACAAGAACTTCAGCGTCCTGATTCTTTACTCTCTTCTGAGTTTCCAAATGTACTCTGTCAAAATGGTAACGAGTAGAGCTGGTCAAAAACCAAAAACAGCTTGCAAATGTTTGGGAAACCTTTTATTTTTATTTTAAATTATTTCTTCAAAAAGATTTTTACAAAAAAGCTTTACACTTCAGTTTCTTCCTTCACCCCCCCCCCTTCTCTTTTTTGTCTCTTAATAAAAGGGGGGCCAATAGGGGAGAAAATAAGAAATTGAACAATTTTGGTTTTCATTAAAAACCTGGGAAATTTTAAAACCCACTTTGTTTTGCAAAATTATATTTATATAAATATACACATTTTCTGGCAAAAAACATTTTTTTAACAATAAATTTTCAACCAGAGGTACTAACGAGGTGTCAAGAACCGAACACAATATTCCAAGTGCATTTCACCAGAGATACCAGGAGACTCTATTCTCACTCTCTGCCCCACGATGTAACGTCGCTACATGGATAGGCTGTAGCCTATCCACCAAGGTTCTTTTGAGGTCATCCATCACCATGACTCAGCCCTGCACACGCTCACTCCAAGTGCCTTCTACTTTTATTGCTTCCCAGTATGTTTCCCCTGCAGTTGAGCAGTATAGATGCATTGTGTGTGTGTGCATGCATATTTCCTTCAAGTTTGGGGTAACTGCAACAGCATTTATATAAACATGCCTCCATTGCATAAGGCTGTGTGGGTTCACTTACATCTTTAACAACATTAGAATAGGCAGTAACTCAGATACGAGTCCCAACAACTGTAGCCGTAGAAAACAGAACCTCAGCCACTCTGTTTGCCAGAAGCTGGGAATGGGCGACAGGGGATGGATCACTTGATGATTGCCTGTTCTGTTCATTCCCTCTGGGGCACCTGGCATTGGCCACTGTCAGAAGACAGGATACTGGGCTAGATGGACCTTTGGTCTGACCCCGTATGGCCGTTCTTATGTTCTTATGTATTGCCAACCAATTCCTTACAGACAGAGACCCTTCTTTCAGACAAGTTAGCACAGGTATAGCCAGCCTTTTCAAAAATAGCTCACTGAAAGGCAGAGGTGTGCTATCCTGAGCGTCCGTCTTCCCGACAGCAATGGGCGAACTTTTACTTCTTCAGAAGACTTTCACAACAAAAGACTAGACTAGAGCCAGGAAGGGGATCCATCGTCTAGCCTGGATTCAGATGCCTAGAAGGCAATTTGGGAGCATCCAGAGAAGGTATAAAATGTGACAATTAACAGTACTCCAGAAGGCTTAAGGAGTCCAATTAGAAGGCATAGATTTGGAATCTATAATTTGATTTATGCTTGGCCAGTAACTCAGAAAGGAACTTAGTGACACCATATATAAAGTGCCAAGTTGTCCCATGCACTTTACAAAAGAGTTTCCCACTGGTGCTTGCCCTGGAGAGCTTAAAATCTCAAGTGAAGGGAAGATGAGGCATGGGAATGGATTGAGCTATAATCAATCAGTAGAAGAAGGCAAAACAAAGAAAGGGTTTTGTAGGAGACCTTTAAACATGGAGAGGCAAGATGGTAGTTGTGAGGGTGGCTTTTCCAAACCTAGCGGGCAGCATGATAAAAGGGCTGGAAGTTGTGAGCATAGGTGCTGGAGCTAGGAGTGCTAGGAATGCTGACGCACCCCCTGGCTTGAAGTGGTTTACATCATATACAGGGTTTACAGTTTGGTTCAATGGCTCTCAGCACCCCCCACTACATAAACTGTTCCAAGCACCCCTGGTTGTGAGTGGGAGAAGAGGATGGAAGGAGAGAACACAGGGCAGAACAGGGAAATCAAGGGTGAGGTACAGTTAGGGACAGAGCTTTTACTGTATGTTGTTAGAAGATCAGTTCCTAAGAACATAAGAATGGCCATAAGGGTCAGACCACTGGTCCATCTAGGCCACTCTCCTGTCTTCTGACACTGGCCAATGCCACATCCTTCAGAGGGAATGAACAAAACAGTGCAACTATGGCGTGATCCATCCCCTGTTGTTCAGTCCCGGCTTCTGGCAGTTAAGAGATTTAGGAACACCCAGAACATGAGGTTAAGTCCCTGACCATTTTGGCTAATAGCCATTGATGGATCTATCCTCTGTGAACTTACCTTATTCATTTTTCAACCCAGTTATACTTTGGGCCTTCACAAGATCCCCTGGCAACGAGTTCCACAGGTTGTGTGCACGCGCGTTGTGTGAAGAATTACTTCCTTTTGTTTGTTTTAAATCTGCTGCCTATTCATTTCATTGGGTGACCCCCTGATTCTTGTATTATGTGAAGGGGTAAATAAACTTCCTTATTCACTTTCTCCACACCATTCATTATTTTATAGACCTCTATCATATCCCCCCTTAGTTGGCTCTTTTCTAAACTGAATAGTACCAGTCTTTTTAATCCCTCCTTGTATGGAAGCTGTTTAATACTCCTGATGGTTTTCCGATTCTAATGCATCTTTTTGTTGTTGTTGTTGAGATGGGGCAACCTGAGTGCACGCAGTATTCACGGTGTGGGCATACCATGGATTTATATAGTAGCATTATGATATTTTCTGTCTTATCTTCCATTTTCTAATGGTTCCTAACATGGTTAGCTTTTTTGACTGCCACTGCATATTGAGCAGATGTTTTCAGGGAACTATCCACAATGACTGCAATCTCTCTTTCTGGAGTGGTAACAATTAATTTAGACCCTATCATTATGTATAGATAGGATTATTTTTTTCCAGTGTGCATTACTTTGTACTTATCAACAGTGAATGTCACTTACCATTTTGTTGCCCAGTCACCCAATTTTGTGAGACCCTTGTAATTCTTCAGAGTCAAATTTGGACTTAACTATCTTGAGTGGTTTTGCCACCTCACTTTTGCCACCTCTGCAAATTTTGCCACCTCTGCAAATTTTGCCACCTCACTTTTTATCCTTTTTTCCACATGATTTATGAATATGTTGAACTGCTCTGATCCCAGTACAGGTCCTTGGGGGGCACTGCTATTTACCTCTCTCTATTGTGAGAACTGACCATTTATTCTTACCCTTTGTTTCCTGTCTTTTAACCAATTACTGATCCATGAGAGGACCTCTCCTCTTATCCCATGATAGCTTGCCTTGCTAAAGAGCCTTTGGTGTGGTACCTTGTCAAGGGCTTTCTGAAAGTTCAAGTACACTATATCCACTAGATCACCGTTGTCCACATGTTTGTTGACCCCCTCAACGAATTCTAATAGATTGGTATGGCATGATTTCCCTTTTAAAAAGCCATGTTGACTTTCTTCCCCAACATATCAAGTTCATCTATGTGTCATATAATTCTGTTCTTTACTATAGTTTCAACCAACTTTCCTGGTACTGAAGTAACATTTAACGGCCTGTATTTGCCAGGATCACCTCTCAAACCTTTTTTTAAAATCAGTGTTACATTAGCTATCCTGCAATCATCTGATACAGAGGCTGATTTAAGCGATAGATTACATACCACAGTTAGTAGATCTGCAATTTCATATCTGAGTTCCTTCAGAACTCTTGGGCGAATACCATCTGGTCCAGGTGACTTATTACTGTTTAATTTATCAATTTGTTCCAAAACCTCCTCTATTGACAACTCAATCTGGGACAGTTCCTCAGATTTGTCACCTAAAAAGAATGGCTCAGATGTAGCACTCTCCCTCACATCTTCAACATAGAAATGTAGGGCAGCAAAGGACTTCAAGAGGTCATCTAGCCCAGGCCCCTGCAATGAGGCAGCACCAAAGATACCTAGACCATCTCCAACTGCTGCTATCTAACCTGTTCTTAAAAGCCTCTTAGGTCAGGGATTCCACAGCCTCCCTAGTTAACCTGTTCCAGAGTTTAACTATCCTTATAGTTAGAAAGTTTTTCCTAATGTTCAGCCTAAATTCCCCTTGCTGCAAACTAAGTATTACTTTTTATCCAACCTTAAGCAGACATGGAGAAAAATTCATCACAGGCTTTTTATAACAGCCTTTCACATACTTTTGCACACAGTGCGCAGTTAATTTGTGCAACTCATTGCAATGGGATGTTGTGATGGCCAAAAGTATAGCTGGATTCACAAATTAACTAGATAAGTTCATGGAGGATAAGGTCCATCAATGACTATTAGCCAAGATGGTTGAAGGGGGGTGGGGAGGCAACCCTATACCTCTGACAGATGCTGGGAGGGGAAGACAGGGGTGGTTCACTTCAACTGCCATGTTGTTCTGTACACTCTCCTGAAGCTTTGGTGCTGGCCGTTGTCGGAGACACGATATGAGGCTAGATGGACCATTGGATCTGACACAGTATGACCATTCTTATGTTTTTATCATTTTTGCTGCTCTTGGACTCTCTCCAGTTTGTCCCTATCTTTCTTCAAGTGCGGAGACCCGTGCCAAGCAGAACAGAACTATTACCTCCGGTGTCTTACATGTGACCCTGTTAATACATCCCAGAATAACGTTTGTCTTTTTCACAGCAGCATCACACTGTGGACTCATTCAATTTGTGATCCACTGTAACCCCCAGATCCTGTTCTGCAGTACTGCTGCCTAGTCAGTTATGCCCCATTTTGTACTCGCACATTTGAGTAATACGTCAATGTCAGCAAACGTTAATTTCACCGCACACACACACACAAAAACCAAAAAATATTTCCATCAGTAATTAAAATGTACAGCGAGGCAAAGAAAGAAAAATGCTGGTTAAGAACTTCAAGTTTGATTTAAGGATACTTATTTGGTATATTTTGACAAGTGAAGTTGACACTGTGTGGTTTAATGGTTATACATTTCAACTTTTTGAATCTCAAGGTCATTAAATTATTGTCTGACACTCCTCCCATAATTTCCTGCAACTGTGAGTTTAAACCAATAAAATTAAAATGCTTAACATAAAAAATAAAAGGTCTAAATTCTGCCACATCACCCATAGCTTGACATCTCCAGAAGCCGGGGGACTTCAAAGTAGAAAGATTTTATCATTGCAATAAAGGAATCTGTATTCATCAAGAACAAAAGTGTAGTTACAAACCTGAGTTACCAACGTTTGTTCTTGCTCTGAAGGATAGACCCAGCCCTTCTGGCACGTCTCAGTGGAGTTAAGCCCATATTCTAGGATGGAGTCCATTCCCTGATCCACAGGAGTGTACATGTGGCATTCCTTGTAAGATCCAGATGCCTTCCTAGGAATGGTTAGGTTCAGCTGCTGTTCTTTAGTCAGGTTTGGACTAATTTCATGGATCCAGCTTGTATCACAGTGATGAGGCACATGCATAACCATGAACAATTGGCTGAACATGTGGAACCCAATGCTAGGAGCTGCCAGAGAAATTAGCAGCACCAAACATTTTTGAAATCTCCCAAAATCACCAACTGTTTTTAGAATTTCTCCGAAGTCGGTCATGGTGAGCTTGGTCTGCGGGCAGTACTGAGCCAGCCTTTCATATGGTCTAGAATTAATGTTTAAACAGAAAATAAACTCTCCAGAAGTACACAGTTAAGGCAAAGCTAATTTTTCATCAGGATCCGCGTTACTAAAACCAGTTGCACGTTTTCTAGTTCACATGCTGCACTGTGTAATGTATTAATCACCTTTCCACAAAATAGGCAACAGCCATTCCCTGTGTGCTGAAGTCTGAAAGGCAGTGTAGACTAGAGGTTAGAGCAGAGGACTTGGTCTCAGGAGACATGGATTCTATTGTCATCTCTAGCAGGATCCAGCTGTGTGAGCTTGGGTAAGATGCTAGTGATCCCTTTGTGCACCTAAATCCAGGCTCCTGGTGCCCGATTTTCTGAACCCTTGAGCACCTGCACCTCCCATTGACTCCAATTGTTCTGGGGGGGAGGGGCTCAGAACCTCTGAAAGTCAAGCATTAGGTATCTGATTTAGCATAGCATTACACCGACATCCAGCTGGAGTAACTCTACTGTGTGGGGAAAAAGAACTGGGTGGCCTTTATGGCAGCCAAAGTAAGACCGAAGGCCCAAATTCAGGCCCTCTGACAGAAGCTGACTATACAGACGGCTTTTACATAGAACAGTACAGGCCAGGGCCTGAACAAAACTAAGCTGTACAAGCCCCTGCCAAATACGATCATGGGCTATGACCAGAGGAGGGAGTGGGAGGGAGCAATGCGAAAGGCTTAGCAACACAATATTCGCTTGTTTATAAAAAACATGATAGCCGCTTGTTTATGAAACATAAGAACCGCCTATATGAAGAAATTGCTTCTAGTAAAGGTCAACTTCCCCTGTAGTTTCAGCTAACTGCCAAACTAGCCAATCATATATCTTCTTTGGGCATCCTGTGATAAACCCCTTCGCCCTTAACTGTAAACCCCCGGAAAAACAATATGTACCCTGACGAGAAAAACACTCCAACTGGTGCCAAGTACCACCCATGGCAGAAACCACCAAGAAACCCCTCACCCAATAGGCACCCAATCCTCGTAAATAATGAGGACGGTGCCAGGAAAAAGGGACAGACCCCAACTCTTATTTCACGCAAATGACGTATTATTTGTACTATGCTTGCGGTTTGAAGGAATAAAAGCAGCCTGCGTGCTGTGCTAGGTGTGGTAGTTTTCAGACTGCTACCCCAACGCGTTGGTATGTATTGCAATAAACTGGCCTCAGGCTCGAGTCTGTGAACTAAAATCAATGCATGGGTGACTTTTTCCACGACAATTTGGGGGCTCATCAAGAAACCCCCCTCCCTTGCAGCCTCATTGCCAGACAGCTAAGTGAACTAAGACTACGAAATCTTGAAGAATAGCTTGCGGAAGCTAGCCAAAACTACCTGAAGATGAAACTTTTGGTGTTCCTCAGCCTCTCCTCCTTGGCGGGCTTGGGGTGGGGAGGGAAAAGTAATATTTTTCTAAATCTTAGCCAATTAGTAGCCTCCGATTTAGCCTGTATCATATTGCAATATACCCCTACTTATACCACTAATATTAGTGCCTCTCTGCCCTTTGTAAAGGTGGTTAGCCAACAAATGTGGTATAATTCTTCACAACCTGATCAATAAGACCGGTTTCAATAGCTAGTACAGAGAGGCCATTAGAAGACCAAGTGCAATGTGACAGGACCTGCTAAATAATTGATAAACTATTTTTTGCATTTATCCAACACCTGGATGGGTTAATTCTCATGTAAATTAACAGATGCCTTCAAGGCCTGCAGCATTAGGCCATTCAGTGATGGGTCTTTGCTCTAAACAATTAAGCTACTTGGATTTGGTTTCTCTGCAAACTTTTGACTGACTGGCAAGGGACTTCACCGTTAATATTGTCTGGTCTAAAGGGAACATTGTTCGAGAGCCTCCTCTTTCCACACTCACCTCTCTGCGCTCCTGCTGCTCGGTCTTTACTTTTTACACAAGAAAAACAACATGGAGAATCCACCATGTTGATTAAACATACCCAAATGTGAGGCCCAGCTTCATGCACCCTGCTGTTCTGGTGGCTTCAGAACAGATTGAGCATTACGAGAGTGCTCAAACACTATTCAAAAGGTACTCCTCTGTGCCTTTGTAGCACAGGCCCATGTCCTTTATCCGTTCAATGACTTTGATACTTGCTCCATCAGAGAATGCTTCTTCTTGAAGAAACCACTTCAGAATAGCCCTAAGGTTTCAAGTAAACCCTGGACCAACTAGTCAAAGACCCACCTCTATGAAACAATTAATTTTTGCTGGCATCACTTGTGACTGCATTTCACACCCTCTTCTTCAGGGGGAGCGACCCTGCTTGTTCAGTGCCTGTATAAATCACCACACCGTTAGTCTAAGTTAATGTATCTTATGGGGGGAGATTCAGGAACATAGACCCAGTTCTGTGAATAGCTTTTGCTCTTTGGCTGCTTTAGGTACCTTAGGATAGTTACATATTTGGTCCAGACCAGGACAGGAAGTCAATGAAAGTTAGTATTAAGCAAGTACAGTCTAGCAGGATTCAGCCGTTTTAAGAGAACTAGTTACCTGGAGCTCCATGGATGGTGTAATCAGGCCATTTGTCACGACCCAGCAGGGGAAGAGACAAGGGAGAGAGCGTGGTCTGCCCTGAAGGCGTGCGGAGGCTACAGTTAGGCTCGGCCTGTGTGGGAAGCTGCAGTATGACACCATTCAATATCCCTGGGCATTTGGAATATCCTGAGGCCAGAACCACTGCGACATCAGGGCAGGTTGAGCAGAGTGGGAGGAATACTGTTAAACCTGTATGGCTACAGGGCCCTTTTCCTAGCTCACTTGTGCCACAAGTTACCTACCAAGCAGAATTCTATTCCTGGGGGAATTCTGCACCAAAAAATAAAAATTTTGCGCACAATATTTTAAAACTCTGCAAATTTTGTCAATAAATATGGAGGCTCCAGCATGGCAGTAGGGAACACAGGCCACTGGCTGCATGGTCTTGGGAAATCACCCTGCACCACTTCTGCCTGGGACATGGAGTCAGTAGTGAGGCTACACCCATCCCTGACACAGCACAAGGGCTGGGCCTGCCCCAGAAACACCCTGGAGCCGTGCCCCTCTGCGCCAGAGGCACCAGGTGTGAGCAGGCAGGCTCAGACCAGCAGGATCCAGAACAAGAGGGCTGTGTGGGGCAATCCAGGTGTGGGTGGCTCAGTGGGGGGTCCGGATGCACAGGGGCTCATTGGGGAGTTTCAGGTGCAATGGGACTCCGCAGAGGGGTCCCGGTGAAGGTGGTTGGGGCTCAGGTGGGGGGTCCAGGTGCAGGGGAGGCAGGGCTCGTCGGGATGGGGGTCCAGTTGCAGCTGGTTGGGGGTTCAGTGGGGTGGGGATCTCATGGGGGTGGTCCAGAGGCAGGGGAGATGGGGCTCATCAGGGTGGGGCTGATGGGTCTGCTTAACAGGGGAGCCCCAGCTGCAGCCAAAGGGATGTAACATGCCGGGCTCCCACTCCAACCCCGATTCCACTATCCCCTTTTCTTCCCCATCCCATGCCTCTTCCCCACAGCACCCTACCCTATCCACTCCCCATCCCACTGCCTCTTTCCCCCACCCCTCCTTGCTCTCCCCGACCTTGGGCACTCACTGTTGTACAGAAAACAGGATGGGTCGCAACACACAGAAGGGGAACAAAACTGGCTCTAGGACCGAAGAGGTGGTGTCCAGCTGCAAAGTCAGCAGAGCGGAGCAGCACTCTTTCAGCTGGGCAGCTCTGCACTCTGCCCCAAACTATGCCACAGGCATCCCCACCCCGGGCACGGCTTCCCTTTGCTTCTCCATCACTTTCTGCAGAGAAGCAAAGCACTCTAGGGGGGACATGTTTTCTGAAGGTGCAGTGGTGCCGAATTCCCCTAAGAATAAGACTTCCCAGGAGCTCTAACCAACAGCTTTGTCAGCTACCAGGACCCAGAGAGAAGTAAGAAAAGCGTGTCAGCCAAAGACATACAAACAGCTTAGGAATTAACGTGTATTGAAACAGAGGACGATCCAGGCAGGACAGCACACGGGACAATGCAGCTACCAGCCAAGCAAAATTCTGTTCACCACGTTAATGTTTTTTTGACTTAGTAAAAATGAGTTTATTCATTACCCTAAAAGGTTTAGAAAACCTAACCTGAGGAAAGATTAAAAAAGCTGGGCATGTTTCGTCTGGAGAAAGGAAGACTACGGGGGACCTGAGAACAGTCTCTTCAGATGTGTTGAGGGCTGTGTTAAAGAGGGCAGGGATCAGTCACAAGAAGTAATGGGCCTAATCTGCAGCAAAGGAGATTTAGGTTAGAGATTAGGGGAACTTTCTAACTCCAGTTAAGCTCTGGAACAGGCTTCCAGGGAAGCTGTGGAATCCCCACCATTGAAAGTCTTTAAAAACGGGTTGGACAAACACTTGTCAGGGATGGTGTGGGTTTACTTGGTCCTGCCTCAGCACGGGGAGCGGGGTCTCAATGACCTCTTGAGGTCCCTTCCAGCCCTACTCTGATTCTCATGGAAAGCGGGAGAGGGGATTTTTCCTGACAGGGTAAATGCTCATGATTGCCTACGCTGAAGGAGGATAATGTTGCAGGCATCACAGGAAGGCAGTGTGGTCCAGTGGGCCTGGACTTGGGAGTCAGGAGGCCAGGGTTCTAGTCCTAGCTTTGCCACTGGGCTGCTGGGTGACCCTGGGCATTTCCCCTCCCTCCACGAGTCCGACTTGCCTATTTAGACTGCAAGCCTTGCGGGGATTGTCTAATGCATCTGGACAGTGCCTAGCACAATGGGGACCCAAAACAAAATAATACAAGTACCACACAACACCACAGAAGCCAGATGTAGAGCGGAGCTGAGTGAGAAAGCAGCCGGTAAGATGCCATCTGACAAGGCAGTATGGGAACTAGTTTGTTCTAGCCAGCTTCCACAGCACAGGTTTATGGTCTGATGAGACAAATATTAACATGTTCCTCATCGAAGAGGCCTAGATAAATATGCCCAGCTCCCTTTCCCCTCAAGGCCTCTGTGCCTCCTCTTTATATCACTGCTGTACAAGGTTCTAGTTAACCATTTCTCTTCATAATGTATTGTGATATTTACACCCCTATCATATTATATCTTAGTGGGGACACTACAAGGGCCCCTCAAAAAACCTGAAGGCATATCTCAGCAAGGCCAACAAAATAAATTTGCAGTGTACAGGCCATGGCACTTCAACACTAGGAGCCAAACAAAGCCAGGCAGTTTGGAAAGATTTCAAAAAGGCAATGACAGGAATCTTCGTTATGTTTTACTTTTTAAACGTAAATAACAATTCGGATCATTTTCCAACTTCCTGGAAAAAACGGTAAGCAGGGAAGAGAAGGAAGATACGAAATTTCAGAGGGACTGGTTTCTTCTTGAGACTATGGGGTTGAATGTTTGAAAAATGAGGTTTACACCATAGGAAGCCAACTGCTCTCTCTGTTTCATAATAGGGAGCAATAATGAAGTAGGGCAACAATGTTGCGTTTTCAGCCCAGTAGCTATATGCTGCAAGATGCTGATGGAATACAATTTATCTACCCAACTGGCTGCTGGGGTGGGATGCTGTTAAAGACTGATCACTTCTATAGAACTATCCATACACTTGACACACTGACTGGTCACTAATCTTTGGCACAGTTATACTAGTTACAGAGGACGTCTGTGGTTCAGGTTAGAGTAAGTTTCAAATACTTACCTTGGAATTCTATTGGTAGCTTGCCACGACTGGTGGCCTCCTTGCATCCACAACAAGATCTTTAACATGGGGCAACTTCCTGTTGTAACACTCAAACAGAAGCAACTGCTAACAAAGAGGGGCTTGGAAGAACCCAGACTATTAGGGTTTAAGAGGATGAGCTGCATGGTTAGAGTTAGCTGGAGATATGATATTGCAAGATAAAGAGACTTGTAGCATCTCACTTCTGCAAAAAGATTTCAATGCACTCTTGACTCCTCCTAAAATTTGAAGCAAAATTCTCACAAATTCCTGAATCAGATCCTCTACTGTGGAGGATTCCTGACAATATTTTAAGACAGAAGGAGAAAAAAAGTTTGGGTCTTTAAAGTGCTATGCAAGCTTCTAACAGTGCTTGGATAGTGGACTTTAGATCGCAGTTTGCAACACTCTTGGCTATTTCAAGACAAGGGAAACTTATTTTGCCCCGTCATGCAGCACTTTTATAACACAGACCAGTTTTTTATTAAGCATGAGTTCAGACATTTTGGTGTAACCCAGTACACCATGCTAGATCCCAGTTCTGCAGAGGTGAAACCCCAGTGCATCCTCCCAGTTCTTCACAACCCATCCCCACTAGGGTATGTCTACCTGCGGCATAGCTGTGGCTGGCCGCAATCTATTGACTCAGACTCACAGAGTGTGGGCTGGGAGGCTTTAAAATTGAAGTGTAGACATTCACGCTCAGGCTGGAACCTGGGGCCTGAGCCCCCAGGACAGGGAAGGTCTCAGTATCTGAGCTCCAGCCCGAGACCAAACGTCTACACTGCAATTTTTAGCCCTACAACCCAAGTCAGCTGACGAGGGCTCTGAGACTCACTGCTGCAGGTTTTTTGTTGCGGTGTAGAGATACATTAATACTTTTTTCACTTTGAGAGTCAGGGTATGAGCTTCTAAAGTTCAGTTATGTACATGAATTCTGTTATCCGTGACAGCCCTGTATCCCAGCTTTCCGATATGCAACGTCAGACCCAACTCTTAAAACAAAATGGCACCTAAAGCATGGCCATGGACAATTTATTCTTTATTGATTAAAAATTAGAGATACATGCAATAAAATACAAAGTCAAAAGAAAAGAGGCGGAATATTTTACATCTGTCATTATAATCTACAACACAACAAAGTTGTGGAGAGGATCCTGTTTCATTAATGTAGCATTATCCTTAGAGTATCAACTAAATTAAAAAATACCACCTGGTCCTAGGTTCAGACCAGAAGTACCAAAAACCAAATCCATTAATGACATATTAAAAAAAATACTTTTTATGAACAGCATTGGCACTTAGAAACAAAGTTATCTAGCACTGTAGTATCCCAAGCCAAATTCTGAATGACTACCAAAAATGTCTAGAGATCTAATCTCAAATACACTCCAGTTGCTTTTTTTTTTTTTTAATTTAAAAAACATAGAAGCCTCAATGTCAGTGCAAACTCACTGTCTGCTAG